TTGTTCTCCTTTCATGTTTAGATATATGCAGGCATTTTAAAGTTATTCATTATCATTAATATAAATTATGTCTCAATGTGGGCATTTATGTAGGCAAGAAATGAAACATAAATTTGATTACAGTGACATAAGCAGGCCATGCTATGGCCAGCATGCAATTAAAAAGTGTGGGGTTTGACCTTTTGATGCATGCTTTATGCTAGAGTCAAATTCAAATCAAATTAATCAAATCAGTTAATCGAGTTCAAATTCAGCATCAGTGTATCATCAGGCTTAGCGTCATATTGTAAGCCAGTGTGCATGCACAGTCATGGATATCCAGAGGTAGTTTGACAGTAAATTCAGTTACTTTAATGCAGTAACAGCAATGAGGTCTAGTATGCATGATACACATAGGTCCATTATAATGGACTCTTAGTAATACACAGGTTCATCATGGAGAACTAAAGATGAAGAGCTAATACCAACCAATATATTATTATCTGTTGTCAAAAACCTCCTCTGGGTAGATATACTATAAATGATAAATTGAATTCATAACTTCTCTTATTCTGATTCTACTACAGGTCCAAATGTTTCTCATTAGATATGGCAGAAAATGTGAGTAATATCAGACATGTGATGTATAATTTAAGTTTATTCTTTTCTTCTGTGATACCATTGTGATGCTTTTTATTTACGATCTTTTAGAAAGTAAGTCATGTTACATATTGTGAATGTGTAATTTTATTCTTTTCTTCTATGATACCATTGTGATACTTTTTATTTATGATCTTTTAGAAAGTAAGCCATGTCACATGTGAATGTGTAATTTTTTTCTTTTATGATACCATTGTGATCCTTTACTAAACTACTATTCACAATCTTTTAGAAAGTACCCAGCAAAAAAATCTTACGTAAGATCTTACTTAAGATCTTATGAAACCTTACAAATGATCTTGCATGTTTAATCATGCCTGTTCTTGCAAGATCATTAGACAAGAAGTTCCAAAATCTTGCCAAGATCTTATGATAAATCTTGCCAAGATCTTATGATAAGTCTTACATGATCAGGCATGGTCTGACGATTAATCTTACATTATCAGTCAAGATCAGGCACTAAATCTTACATGATCAGGCAAGATCAGGCACTAAATCTTACATGATCAGGCAAGATCAGGCACTAAATCTTACATGATCAGTCAAAAGCAGGAACTAAATCTTACATGATTAGGCAAGATCAGGAATGAAATCTTACATGATCAGGCAAGATCAGGAATGAAATCTTACATGATCAGTCAAGATCAGGAACTAAATCTTACATGATCAGGCAAGATCAGGAATGAAATCTTACATTTTCAGTAAAGATTTGGAATTAAATCTTACATTATCAGTCAAGATCTGGAATTAAATCTTGTATGATCTTTTAAGACTCTTACTTGTTGTGAACTAATATCATGAAGGATATTGTAAGATCTTGTCAAGATCTTGAAGGAATAGTTAAGTTCAGATTTGGGATTCCAAGCATATCCCATAGTATTAAAATGACTGCAATTGTAAGATCTGAGCAAGAACTTACATTGCTTAAATGCATAAGAATGATGTCATTATAGCTTAATTAAGTTTAATTTTGTTGAAAGTTTGCTTTCTTTATATGCTCATACTTTTGTAAAGGCTATCGTGGGTTGTCAACTACTTCCTGTGACATCACACAACATGTAAGATCTTTCAAGATCTTGTATGACTTTAAATAAAGTGAAGCGTAAGATAATTCATGTAAGATCTTAAGTAAGATCAGGCATATACATCTTATCAGTGATATTGTAAGATAAGTCATGTAAGATCTTAAGTAAGATCATGCCTGTATATAGTAGCTAAGATTGATCCAAATAAGATCTTATAAGGTTGTTCTTAATTCTTATCTCACCTTACTTTATCTGATCAGATAATACAAGATCTTAGTAAGATTTTTTTGCTGGGTAAATCATTTTGCATGTGAATGTATAATTTTATTCTTTTTCAATGATACTATTGTGACACTTTACTGAACTGTAATTTTCACAAATTTTTAGAGAGTAAGTCATGTCACATGTGAATGTGTAACTTTATTCTTTTCTTCTATGATACCATTGTGATATTTAACTAAAATGTGTTATTCACAACCATTCAGCCAGTAAGTCATGTCCATGTAAATGTGTAATTATATTCTTTTCTTCTACTATGATACCATTGTGAATTTACTAAAATGCTTTATTCACAATCTTTCAGGTTGTAAGTTATGTCACATGTAAATGTGTAATTTTATTCTTTTTATATAATATCATGGTGATACTTAACTAAAATGTGTTATTCACAATCTTTCAGTTTGTAAGTCACGTCACATGTGAATGTTTAATTTTATTCTTCTCTTCTATGATACCATTGTGATACTTTACTAAACTGTTTTATTCACAATCTTTCAGTTTGTAAGTTACATCACATGTGAATGTGTAATTTTATCCTTTTCTTTCATTATACCATTGTGATACTTTACTAAACTGTGTTATTCACAATCTTTCAGGCAGTAAGTCATGTCATATGTAAATGTGTAATTTTATTCTTTTCTTCTATGATAACATCTGTGTTATTCACAATATTTCAGGAAGTAAGTCACATCACATGTGAATGTGTAATTTTATTCTTTTCTTCTATGATACCATTGTGATACTTTAAACTGTGTTATCACAATCTTTCAGGCAGTAAGTCATGTCATATGTAAATGTGTAATTTTATTCTTTTCTTCTATGATAACATCTGTGTTATTCACAATCTTTCAGGAAGTAAGTCACATCACATGTGAATGTGTAATTTTTTTTTCCTTTATGATACCATTGTGATACTTTACTAAACTGTGTTATTCACAATCTTTCAGGAGGTAAGTCACATCACATGTGAATGTCTAATTTTATTTTTTTCTTCTATGATACCATTGTGATACTCTACTAAACTGTGTTATTCACAATCTTTCAGCCAGTAAGTGACATCACATATGAGAAAGTAATTTTATTCTTTTCTTCTGTGATGCCATTGTGATACTTTACTAAACTGTGTTATTCACAATCTTTCAGCCAGTAAGTGACATCACATATGAGAAAGTAATTTTATTCTTTTCTTCTGTGATGCCATTGTGATACTTTACTAAACTGTGTTATTCACAATCTTTCAGCCAGTAAGTCACATCACATGTGAAAATGTAATTTTATTCTTTTTTTATGATGCCATTTTGATACTTTACTAAACTGTGTTATTCACAATCTTTTAGGCAGTAAGTCATGTCATATGTAAATGTGTAATTTTATTCTTTTTTCTTATGATACCATTAATTGTGATCCTTTACTAAACTACTATTCACAATCTTTTAGAAAGTAAATCATTTTGCATGTGAATGTATAATTTTATTCTTTTTCAATGATACTATTGTGACACTTTACTGAACTGTAATTTTTACAAATTTTTAGAGAGTAAGTCATGTCACATGTGAATGTGTAACTTTATTCTTTTCTTCTATGATACCATTGTGATACTTAACTAAAATGTGTTATTCACAATCTTTCAGTATGTAAGTCACGTCACATGTGAATGTGTGATTTTATTCTTTTCTTCTATGATACCATTGTGATACTTTACTAAACTGTGTTATTCACAATCTTTCAGGAGGTAAGTCACATCACATGTGAATGTGTAATTTTTTTTTCTTCTATGATACCATTGTGACACTTTACTAAACTGTGATATCCACAATTATTCAGACAGTAAGTCACGTCACATGGGAAAATGTAATTTTATTCTGTTCTTCTATGATACCATTGGGATACTTTACTAAACTGTGTTATTCACAATCTTTCAGTATGTAAGTCATGTCACATGTGAATGTGTAATTTTATTCTTTTCTTCTATGATACCATTGGGATACTTTACTAAACTGTGTTATTCACAATCTTTCAGTATGTAAGTCATGTCACATGTGAATGTGTAATTTTATTCTTTTCTTCTATGATACCATTGGGATACTTTACTGAACTGTGTTATTCACAATCTTTTAGATCGTAAGTCATGTCACATGTGAATGTGTAATTTTATTCTTTTCTTCTATGATACCTTTTTGATACTTTACTAAACTGTATTATTCACAATCTTTCAGGCAGTGAGTCACATCACATGTAAATGTGTAATTTTTATTCTTTTCTTCTATGTTTTAATGTTGTTATTCAGCCAATAGTAAGTTTGGAATAAATTTTTTAATGCAATAGATTTTTGCTTCACATTTATAGGATATAAGTGAGTAATCGCTTTGTATACACTTGTAAACTCTGGGGGGGATTCACTTTACATACGTATTGTGAGTACCCATTGATATTTATCATACATATGTAGATGCTTATGAGAGAGCTCTCAAAAAACAAGGAAGTGCTGATGTAGCGTATGCTCGTCTTATGTTACTGGGATCAGCTGGTACTGGCAAGACATCTCTCAAGCATTCATTAATGGAAGAGCCTTTCAATCCTCATACTACAAGCACCATTGTATCTGATGTATTGTCTGTACGACCATTTGGACACGAGTGGAAAACAATGAGAGAAAACAAATGGAGAGAAACCTCAGCAGAAGATGAAATTGAAGAGCTTGCACATTTGTTTAAATCCTTTCAATCTGGATCATCCTCACACCATAAATCTATGAGTACACAATATTCTTATGATAAATTGATTCCTACAAGTGCTATAACATCCATTTTGGGTATAGAGAGTAGTTTTATCCAATCAATACTAAGGAGAGCTACACATAGTGAACTATCTTTGATGTCAACATCGACTGTTCAAGTTAGTCATACTTTAATAGCATTATAACATATTTTTAATAATCTTTAGCCATTTCTTCATATATGGGATTGCGGTGGTCAGCCAGTGTTCCTTGAGATTCTCCCAGCCTTCCTCACTCCTCGTACAATGTTTCTCCTCCTGTTTGATGCTTCAAAGGATTTCAGGGAAAGATGGCAGTCACGTCAGAATACTCCTGCTGGTGAAGTGCTGTTTGGTGAGGTAGTGAATGAAAGCACAAGTGATCTAATGGCCAAATGGATGTCTATAATACACAGTCACCTCATGAAGCACAACAAAGATGATACTTCTTCTCCTAGTCTCTATTGTATTGGCACTCTTGGTGACAAGCTACTTTTAGAAAGCAAGAAAAAAGCAAAGGAGCAAATACAGTCCTTATATGGGGAGAAAGAGTTCTCAGATGTTATCAAAGATGTACTGATCATTGATAATACAACCTCAGGCAAAGGGGAAGAAGAAGACCCAAGCATCAAAGAATTACGCAAAGCTATTGATGGTTTTATCAATAAGTTAGTCGTTCCAACCCCTGTCAATTGGGTTCTGTTTCGCAAAGTTTATCAAGAGCTCGGGCTAAATGTCATTAGTTTATCTGATGCTATTGCCATTGGAGTGGCATGTCATATACCAGCAGCTGATGTTCCTGAAGTATTGAAATTCTATCATGAGCTGGGAGCTCTTCTTTACTATCCTAAAATAGAAGGTCTGAAGAATAAAGTCATTCTGAGTCCAAAATGGTTTGTTGATACCATTGGGAAGCTGTTCCCACTTGAAAGAGGATGGAGCAAAGAAGACAGATGGTTGTTGTTTCAAAGTAAAGGTATTCTTGTTGAACCACTATATCAAGAGGTATGGCAATCAAGTGGTATTGATCCAGAAGAAATAATTGAACTTTTAGTTCATTTTTGTCTTGCAGCTTCAGTTCAAACCAAGCTTAGCAGATTCAAGCAATATTTTCTTCCAGCAGTGCTACCAGGATACACAGGTGATCCTAATGAAGTACAACCTGGTTATAAACTAAGAACCTCACCTGCACACATTACATTCTCCACTGGGTATGTACCTCCTGGCTTCTTCACTCGTTTAGCAACCACTGTTACTACAAATCCCAATGTTGAGCTCAGTTTTGATAGTAATTTTGCAGCTCCTGTCATTCATTCACAAAGTAAAAGTATTTATCATAATCGTGTCTACTTCTCCTTCTCTTATGGCCGTCCTTCTGATAATTTTGTTCTTACTGATATTAATGAAGCCATTCAAGTTGATGTGTTGAGATATGTCCCTGAGAGCAGTCATTCTGTTCCTTTCAAAACAGTTTGTCAGCAAATCATGAAATTGCTAGATGCATGTTGTCAACAAGTAGAAGACACTCTCAGTCATTACCATGGTCATCATGCCGATCGATCATCAAGAAAAGTAAAATATGTTTGTTGTGAATGCGGTCCTTTCAGTAAAGCCCATTACATTAAAGACATTGATGCTGAGAAGCAGACATGCTCTGAGTTTGTTCACTGCGAAATGGAAAGTTATCCTCGCCGCCTAACCAGTAATGAGACACTGTGGTTTAATAAGGTATTCAATATTTTTTTATTTTACCATTTAACTCCCCCACACAGATCAGTGTACGTGAGTCCAATGATGATCAACAAAAAGGTATAATTATTCAGTGTCACTAGTTTCACATTATTTATTTATAATAGTTATATTGACTATCACAAATCTAGTTGATATCATACGAGTGTTAGAAAAGGGTAACTTTCAGAATCAAAAGTGGCGTAAACTTGGTCTCTACTTGGGTCTGATTCACCCCGACTTAAAGACTATTGAGGAAAACTATCCTCGAGATGCTGAGCGATGTCTGGAAGAATGTTTAGCAAAATGGCTTACAGTTGATACTGAAGCAACATGGGAGAAACTAGCTATTGCTGTTGGTGAAGCAGGAGAGACACCAGCTACTACTAATATTAAGTAATTTATTAATAGAATCAGAAAAGAGCTTTAACAGATGATAGTAGTGTTAACATTCAAATAAATTAAATGTTTGTTGTCCAGTGGTTTCTATTCTTTTTACTATTAGTTGCATCACATTTTATATATTATATAAAATTTATAAAGCAAGAATATTGTTGACATTTTACTACTCTGCAACTGCTGCCTAAGAATATGCTTATATCTATGCTTGTAATGTGTTCTTTGTTTCTTTCAAGTTATTAATGGATGCTATTTAACACAATGCTGGTGAATAAGGAAGCAGTTCCTGTCACAAGTAGTCAGTGTATATTGATATTTCCTGAATAGAGTCCAAATATACTTCCATAAAAGGAAAGACATCTTGGAAATGTTGACAGAATCTTGTCTACAGTACAAACACTACACTAACTAACCTTTAACAAAGCACATATAATGATTCACTGCAGTAGTGGGTGGAAGTTCCATTTAAAAATATGTACATTACATTTACATGTATGTGTTCACAATATTCATATCTAGAGCTAAGATTATTTCCACCCAATGGTAGATACTATTATGATATCACAGTCACTATATGATTTTATGATGATGTCATGAGGTTACTATGACTTCCGAGGGATTCTAGCAACGCTTAGAAACCTCGTAACCAGTATCTAACCTATATTTATGATGATGTCATTAATTAGTTATGGTAGCTACAGCATTAAAGTATTCCAATAATAGAATATCAACAGAATCAAGTACATGTACATGTACAGGTAATGGAACTGACTGTACACATAACTGCATGTACATGTATCTATGAAGCTTGTCTCTTCCTATCTATTTCTCAGTCTCTCTCTTATAAAAATTACTCTCCAGCTGTAGAATGACCTGGTTGTGTATCATTGTCATTTACTACTAGTAATTTCTACTCCTCCATTCCACTGGATATCCCTATGAGTGGATCTAACCTCTTGAGAAATGCAACAACAACAACAACAATAATAATAATAATAATAATAATAATAATAATAATAATAATAATAATAATAATAATAATAATGTTATTAAAGCAATAGGACAAGCAAACAACACAAGTAGTTCCAAGAAAGAGAGAGAGAGAGGAAGAATGATAAAGAGTATATTATAATCACAATATCAAGTCATAATTATTATTATTAATTATTATCAGTGGGTATTATTGTGTACTTTATTATCAGACAACGGTGCTTTGGGTGTTAGCAGCTGCCGATAATTCAAAATTAATCTTAGCTCCGCCCCCTCCTCCTCCCCCACTGTGATTGGACCCAAAGGAATGGATGGAGTTACGATCCTCACCACCAGAAATTAGATCATCAGCACTAGCAGATACCTTTAAAATAAAAGAACAATAATCTCTATCACTGCCTTTATGAATGTAGCATCTTGTCAATGAATTTTTCAAGGTGTTTAAGATTTACCCAAAGTCCCCGTACTTTGTACTGGTACAGGGTATTTCATCAAAAATTTTTACGAGAGAAATTTCTATTTTTATAATTTTTTCTGATACATATACATGTTCTTATGTTGTGTTTAAAATTTGAGCTAATTCTGAT